CGGGGGGGCTACAGCACGAGACGCAGGAGCTGGCCTCCAAGCGGGTGGACATCCAGAACAAGCGCTTCTACCTGGACGTGAAGCAGAACGCCAAGGGCCGCTTCCTGAAGATCGCTGAGGTGGGCGCGGGCGGCAACAAGAGCCGCCTCACTCTCTCCATGTCAGTGGCTGTGGAGTTCCGCGACTACCTGGGCGACTTCATCGAGCACTACGCGCAGCTGGGCCCCAGCCAGCCACCCGACCTGGCCCAGGCACTGGACGAGCCGCGCCGGGCGCTCAAGAGTGAGTTCCTGGTGCGCGAGAACCGCAAGTACTACATGGATCTCAAGGAGAACCAGCGCGGCCGCTTCCTGCGCATCCGCCAGACGGTCAATCGGGGGCCCGGCCTGGGCTCCACGCAGGGCCAGACCATTGCGCTGCCCGCACAAGGGCTCATCGAGTTCCGTGATGCTCTGGCCAAGCTCATCGACGACTACGGAGTGGAGGAGGAGCCGGCAGAGCTGCCCGAGGGCACCTCCTTGACTGTGGACAACAAGCGCTTCTTCTTTGATGTGGGCTCCAACAAGTACGGTGTGTTTATGCGAGTGAGCGAGGTGAAGCCCACCTACCGCAACTCCATCACCGTGCCCTACAAGGTGTGGGCCAAGTTCGGACACACCTTCTGCAAATACTCGGAGGAGATGAAGAAGATTCAAGAGAAGCAGAGGGAGAAGCGAGCTGCCTGTGAGCAACTCCACCAGCAGCAGCAGCAGCAGCAGGAGGAGACCGCCGCTGCCACCCTGCTACTGCAGGGTGAGGAAGAAGGGGAAGAAGATTGATCAAACTGAATGGAAAAAAAACCCATACACGTGCATACACACACACACACACACACACACACACACACACACACAGCCGCACACAGAGAAAATATACTGTAAAGAAAGAGGAAAAAAGAAAAAGTAAAAAAGAAAAAAAAAACCAACTTAACTCCAAGGGAGCACCACCCACAGAACCTCCACCAACTGACAGTTTCTCTTCTTGACTTGCCACCCATCGCTGGATGTTGTCCACTTTATCCACCATATAAAACAGTAAGCAGCTGCTAAAACAAAAAAAAAAATACAAAAAGTAATAACATTATATGAACTGTGTTTCCTACTTGATTAAAAATATAAAGAACTGAGTGTTTATTTCCCTAATTAACCAAGAACTTTTGTACACGTTTAAGCTATTATTATTAAAAGTGTTTGCAAAATGGTCAAGATTATAATATTGCTGAATTATATAAAAGTCCTTTTCATGTTGAGCTAACATTTGACTTTAGCACAAAAAAGAGATATTTTAGAACACGTAAAATAATATTTTTAGTTTTTCTCATTTTGTTACCAAATTTCAAACCTTACATGGAGGTTATTATAGTATATTTGACACCCTATATACCTGTGATTAGAGATGTGTATATATATGAGGGCTAGGCATGCTGTGTGTCTGAGCTTTGTCTAAATGTTATGCAGAAGTTTGTAGAGTTAAAGGTACGTAGGTTTAATTCATGCAAGGTAAACAATAAGTGCTCTCTTTTATACAATATGCATTGCATCTGGACCTTAAACATATAAAAATGGTCAGTGAAACTTCTGTGAACATGAAGAAATTATTAAAAAAGGCATTTAAATGAAATTTGCTAAGTTGTGATTTTTACGGTTGGAACCAAAGTTATTCAGATAGCAAAAGGAAAAAGAGAAAGAGAGAAAAAGGAAATCTCCCATAATATTTTTCTGCATCTGTTTGCTTTGACCAAGTAGGTGTTTTGTCATTATTGTGTATATGAGATGTACTTGTATCGTTCATAATATATTTTTTTTATTATGTGTAGAAAGATTTTAAAAACTAACGTGCAGCAATTTCCAGTGAACCTGTACTTGGACATCAGGTAGTGAGTCTATTTGTGGTCACTAGCACTGTCTCCTAAACTTGTAAGAGGTCTGAAGCTATCCTTTGGTTTTTGCCAGTGCTATTAACTTATGTAGACCTGTTAAAAAGCAGAGCAACACAATTACAGTTATCCTACTGAGCCATGGATTCTGAGTTTCATTTTAAAAGAGAAAGCCAAGTTAAGTTGGTATATGTAAAGGATTTCCATGTAGCTGTGGTGCTAGTTATTACTGGCTACATTATATGCTAAGTGTATTTGTGTTCCCCAAGTGTACAAGCCTTCTATCAAAAGTATGTTCTATAATTCATATATTCGAGGTGTAGGGTATGAAAATGGAAAGCTTAGGAGAGCACTTTACTAAGTTGGTGTCCTCCAAACTGAAATTGTTTGTAACGATAGTCTTTTTACAGGTTTTCATTTAAAGATGTTTGTGTGCTTTTAATTGACAACTAACTTCTTGCTGCTGTATAGTAAAATATTAATATATTTTTATCATTAAACTGCTGCATGACTATCATCTTTGAGTGAAGAGAAAATGTTATAAAAAAAAAAGATGCCTTAAACAGTACATTTTGGTTTGGAGTTCTGTAGAAAGCTTTTTTGTTTTTGTTTTGTTTTTTGGTTTTTGTAAAATGGACCTGTTTGACAGAGAGAGTTCTGGGGATGGAATTGTTTCTTGGCAAATCCAGACATTTAGATCTAACTGCTGTATGTAGGAGACATCACCTGTAGGAGCTGGAAGGTGTCAGTGCTTCTCGTATTGTAAAGCATTGGCCTAGGAAGGTGAAACAGTTGTCTTTTTGAAGGATTTTTTTTCTGCTGGTTCTTTGGGTTTGATTTGATATTTTTAAGCTCCCTGGTTGAGTGTGTTGTCTTTGTTTTTGAGATCTACTGTATGTGTTGAATAACAAGCTATTTCCATTGTACTGTGCATTTTCCCATTAAATTGTTTGCTTTTAATATTCATACAATGTTAAATATGAGGTGACCGTACAATAGTTAGGAGTTTCTTTACTTACAAAAATCACTGGAAATGATTAAATTGCTTTTCCCCTTTCCCCAAGGTGCATTTTTCTTATTTCCATATAGTAAAGTTGAGCTTTTACAGTGCATAATGTGACATTTGGAATGCTTATCAACTGCATGTAAACATTAATAACCTGCACTTTTTTGTCTTACGGTTTGTTGAGCTGTTTTGTTCACTGTACTTTAACTGTGATATGGAAAAGACTGCATTCTCTGTGCTGTTACTAGTTAGGAAAGAGAATTGCTTTGATTTTGTCTCTTGTTTACTATAGCTTCTTAAAGTTAAGCCTTGTACTACAGGTTGTTGGAGTACTCCTAGATCAGTGTTTTATAGTAGCCAGCAATAAGTAGTGCAAGTCAACAAAAACACAGCAAACTTAGGCAAAGTGTCCTTTCTTTGAGATGCGAGTTCTTTCATGAGGTTTTCTTTAGGGTCAGAGTTACCTAAAGCGAAGCCTTTCTTAACTATAGACTTCAGATTCTGCTTGGAATCCTACCGGATTAAGAAGCACACATATTGTGCAGTTGTCTTTACACTATAACAGTTAAACACAATCTTACTAAGATTTTGAAACATTGTCTGATTTATGGTCCGTGGGTTTAAAAAGAAATTCTTTTGCAGATCTTGTAAGACTTAAGAGATGATCATAGAAAAGACTAAGTGACTGTAAAGATGCTCTTTTTTGCATCTCATTTTACCTCCCCAAGTACCCTCCCAAACCTTCCCTTCTCCTCCTCTCTCCTGTTTCATCCTTTCCCCTACCCTTCCCCCCAGGTGCTCGGTACTTTACCAAGGTCTATATCTCAGTGTTTTATGTTGGAGTTTTTCCTTGTTTTTATTTTACTAGTTGGTACACCCTGTTTGTGCTGAAACAAAAAAGGAAATGGTTGGTATATTTGACCATATGTGTTATTCATAGAAGACAGTATGATCAAATGTGCCAAAAACAAGCAAACAAAACTTACTTCTTGACAAGTATGCCTTATTTTTAATGATCTGCTTTGTCTTGCAATTAAGGTCCAAGAGCTTGGTTAAACTATTATTTGCCTAAGTATAAAAGAAAACTTGAAATGCATTGCAATATTGACGTTCTTTAAAATGAGAGACACTGTCAAGTAATTTAATCTAGAGATCAGCCACCAGATTTGAAATGCCCATATATATGTGTGTGTTTGGTGTCTTTTTTTTTTTTTTCTTTTAAATCACCAAATCTTTTTTAAGCTACTTTTTATTTGTGCCTCCTATTTGTCATGCTGATGTTAGAAGCAGCAGTCATCCAGCCACAGAGGGAGCTAAAGTTAACTAAGCAGAACTGTAGAAATCATTATACATGCCTTTGACAACAAAGGAAGTTTATAAGAAAAGCCATGTCGGCTTTTCCTCCACTAGATACAGATTGGAGGTAGATGAATATTTGCCAAATGGAAAAAACAACAATGCGAATCAGGAAAGACAGACTTTTCCAGCTTCTCAAAAGCCATGGAGAGTAGAAACTAAAACCAACAGGGAAAATTAAAAAAAAACCTTGAAAATATCACTTTCTAGCTTTCCCATGCAGGGGTTGAAATTTGACTCAAAGTGGAAAATATATCAATGTGATTTTTAGGTCTCCACATCTAGAGATGGATAACTATTCCAATTTGATTTTTCAGGTAATGGAGAAAGCTGCTAGTAATTTTAACCCCTACCTAAAGAAGACAGATAATTTCATTTGGGAGCAAATACGTATTGCCTTGAAAATAGCACTGTAATAGCCTATGATAATTAGTCATAGAATAACCTTTATCCCTTTTAAACTATGCAAATTATTAAACAAGTGTAAATTAGGTCTCAATTAAAGATAGTTGATTAAATCACAATCAGATGGCATTCACAAACTTAACTGGAGCATATACAAATAAAATCTATTAGTCTAAAGAGTTTTGTATGCTAACAGAAAAATATAATTTAGCTACCTAAAAATGGTGAATATTATTAATATTGTGTAATAGGACTGGGAAGACTGCCTCCTTTTTTGAAGAGAGAGATTAAGGATTTTTATAATTGTTTTTCATCAAATTTTAATATTTTTGTCAAATTTTTAGGTATTTAATTTGTAAAACAGTTTGCTTTGTACTGGCACACAGAAAATAGGGTATTGATTTTAAACTTTTTGAAGCCAAGTGATCAAGTACATTTGTAATAAAAGTCAATGGATCTATATCAGTTGTACTCACTGTTTTCATTTCTTATTATTAATATAGGAATGCTGTACTTTTCTGGAGGAAAACTGAACTAAATTTGGGTGGAAGGGAGGGGAAAAGATAAGCTCATTGATAATGAGAATCTGGGTGGGTACTATTGGCCCAAACATTTTACATAATCTTTAAGTCAGTTAAGATTTGGTATGTTAAAAAAGATGCCTATGTCAGTTTTTTGTTCCTGTTTTTTTTTTATGGGAAATTGATGTTTGTGGGGGTTATTTCATTCACTGTTTCTGTGCTTTAACATTTTGCATGTGCACTGTTGAAACTTTCTGAACACATTTTTCATTTATGACATTTGGATTATCTGCCAACCATGGTGACCCCCCTCTCTTCATATTTGCACTCATTTTTTTAAAATATGTTTTTAAATATGTTTTTACTGAGTTTTAGAAAGAGAGGAAGAGAGAGTGATAGAAACATCGATGAGAGAGAAACATTGATTAGCTGCCTCCTACATGTCCCCTCCTGGGAATTGAGCCTGCAACCCAGGCATATGCCCTGACCTGGAATCAACCCATGACCCCCAGGTTCCTGGGTGGGCGCTCAGCCACTGAGCCACACCAGCCAGCTTGCACTCATTTTTTAATATTACTTACATGCACACACACACACTCCAGATGATTTTAGAATGGGGATTTCCGAAATTGTTGCTCTGGTGGCTTTCATAGCTC